CAAATTGAGACTTTTTATAGATTGAAAATTGTTTTTAATTAATAGCAATGGTTACTTCTGATACTAAAGTAGGAGTAAGGTTGGGAATGATCAGGTGACAAATTGAACTAGGGTGTGAATTTTTTTTTACAGTATTTTTTACCAAGTTGTAATTTAAATGAACAAAAATCACAGTTTAAAAAGAAAGTAAACAAAGGTCTAAAGAAAATATGAATAAAGGTAAATATTTATTCTGCAGAATGGCTCAAGCACATATAAATTGAAATTGTTTCAGAAGTCCTTACATTTAGGAATTACCAAGTAATGCACTTATCCAGGTTCTAGAAATAGAGAAGGATGTATTGAGTTTGTTATTATTATCCAGACACCAGTGCTGAGTCCTTTGAAAGAATTATTTCACTCAGTCCTCACAAGTGCCCTGTCAGACAGTGGTTCCTTATCTCCAAAGATACACAGATATAGAAACAGAGGCTTAGATAGGTTAAAATAGAATGTGTTGGGAAACTAATTATATAATGTGGAAGTCCCACTTTTGTTCTTTTTTTTTTCCTTCTGGCACTACTACCAAAGATTCATATGCCTCCATTCTTACCACTAAGACTCATTTTTCAGAAATCTATATAATTAGTGTAGCTCTCTTCTTTTGCTTGGAAAGAAGTTCTAGAATATGCTTATTTGGTATGTTTTTCTCTGGTTGTCTGACTTTTTTTTTTTTAACAGAAGAAGTATTGAATATTGGAACAAAAGTCTGCAATAGTAAAGCAGTCAAGGAACCAAAGTCTGCAGCAGCAAGTTAAGCAAACCAGCTATGTTCTCAGTAAGAGAAATGTTATAATAACTAAAAAAGGCTGGAGATGATGGCAGATCTAGGAGGAAATGTGGGTAGGGACATATTCAAATTCTACTAAAGTTTAAAATGAGCTTTTAGTACTAGACTCCCAAGAGAGTGGTAGTATTCTAAGAAATAAAAGGGAATGCTGAAGCTTGCTCCAAATAAGGATAGTTATCAGAGTGGTTTCTTCACTTAATTGCATGCTGCCAAAAGAAACACATGTTTAGTATACATCTTCTTTATCCATTTATCTGTTGATGGGCACTTAGGTTGCTTTGAAATCTTAGCTATTGTACATAATGCCACTATGAACAATGGGATGGACATATCTTTTTGAATTAGTGTTTTCATTTTCCTTGGATATAAATATATATATCACTCAGTTATATATATAACACACACACACACACACATAAGCATGAAACAAGAATGAGAATCTGTTATTCACAGCATCAATGGGCCTAGAAAGTAGTATGCTTAATGAAATAAATCAGACAGAGAAAGACAAATACTCTATGTTATTACTTATATGTGGAATCTAAAAAATAAAGCAAATGAATATATATAACAAAGCAGAAACAGACTCACAGATAAAGGGAACAATTAGTGGTTACCAGAGAGGGAAGGGGGAGGGGCAAAATGAGGGTATGGGATTAAGATTATCCCTGCTCTTTTTTTTTTTAATAGAGGTACTGGGGATTGAATCCAGGACCTTGTTCATGCTAAGCACATGCTCTACCACGGAGCTATAACCCACCCCAGTTATCCTCGTTCTTATGGTACAGTTCCCATGGTCTTTCAACTAAGAGACTAGTATATTAACCAGGGTCAATCCTCTAGGTTAGTCATAAATTCTAACTCCTCAGTACCATAAAACTGATGAAAATGCAGCTGTGTTTTAGAGAGGTCTTGGCACAGCTTTTAAATTTCCCTCTCTGTTTAAAAGCTTGTCAAATACTTATAGGGGAAAACTGCCTTGTATTTAGGCCTTCAATTCATTTTTGTCACTTTAGCTATACAAGAATGACACATTTCTATCCTTTCCCACCTCTGTTCCTATTAATGGTCCTTTCGTTACCAAGGCTGTTGCTTCAGAATCATACTCCTGCCCCTCCCTCAAATGGAAACCAATTGCTCTTACCTAAGTTTCAGGAGGAAGCTGCAAAGAGAAAAGCAAGAACTGGTTAAAATCAGCTTGGCCCAAGATGGCAGAATAATTGACTTCCAGTTGACCTTGAGCCTTATTACACGCTCATTATAATACATTAGCATGCTAAAAGACACACTCACCAATGCAAAGACAGTTGACAACTGCCATGACAACCACCAGAAAAGCCCATACAAGGACTGACAAGAAGTGCTGCATCAGTTCTGGGTCCAAACTATATCCTTGTTATCAGATGAATATTCCTCC